TCAGGAACTTTCATATGATTGGTCACAGAACGAAAAAAGTATACACATATATATATGTACGTCGTATATGTCAATCCATTTTGCATATATATATATGTCAGTCATCTATATTATATTTTACATTCAGGAACTTTTTTCTTATGTAAATTAAATCAATTTTTCCTATACTATTAAATTTTTTCGGTAATATTAAAGTCCAACCAAGGGGGAAAAGGCGAGACTCCCGTACTCCAGAAGTACAATGGGAGCACAAGGGAGTACAGTGGATATACAGTGGAAGTACAGCGGAAGTACAGGGAAGAACAGAGTAGTACTGTAGGAGTATGCACTCCAGGAGTCCCGCTTTTCCCCCCTTGAGTCCAACCCTTCACAGGGGCCTCTAGCATCTACTAATCATTAATGTTAATCTATCCTGCACAGACGAGATCATCAGGTGATAAACAGCAATCTTATCACAAATCGATAACAATCTTCTCGACACGTTTCATTCAGCTTTCTAGCTCGTTGAAAAACGTTCGTTCTTCATATTTGACAAACAAGAGTCACATCTTTTTACTCTATTTATCTTAGCTTCACGAATAATTGACTTTTCCTTGTCTAACACATCATATTACACGTCCGCACCAAATATTGAGCAGATTATTATTGGAAATGTCGAAAAACTGTCCATTCAGGATTTGACAACACCACCACAAACTCATTGCTAGCAACGGATCAAATCTCCTCGATTTAATGGCGTCAATGTCTCATTTGAAACTGTTCCATTGATCATCAATTTGACCACTAATGAACATTTTTTGATAACAAACACAATTGTGTCCTTGTCAACCGTGATCAATCGTGTTCATATGTTCATGCCCTTTCTACATCAGCTCACAATCGATGATACTGAAATAGCAGCAAGCGCTGTCGACATGTTACATCTTTGTAGTCTATTTTCACACGTTGAACAGTTGACAATGTGCATCAATTCGTTTGATGACATAACAAGTGTAATCAAGGGTGGGGTGTGGCTGATGAAAATAAGAACAACTGCACACATCGATACCCACAACCTGGCGAACAGATTAATTAAATTGCCTGAAACCTTATAGAAAACCTCCTATCCATCATGTTACTAGGCTTGCACTAATCCAAGTTAGGTTACCGCTTATTATATTAGAAAAACTAAGTATTAAAAGATTTATTAGCGTAAAACGATTATTCAATCAGTACAATAAATCATGTATCTTCTCTTAAGTGAACATCCTTTCAAAAAAAAAATAATAGCAACAAACTCAAAAAGTTGACTTTTAACTATAGAAGAGATATGGCTGTGAATGTAGACGCGTGTGATATGTAGAACTTCATAATGTGGAAAAAATGACTTCCGTTTTATATATAATAATAAGATACTGCAATCTATTTCCACCCCTCAATAGAAGACGTTGGCATGCCCATGTTTTAGGATATTTCACGACGTATGACCATTTTTTTCAGAAAAGAGAACAATTCATTCATGATGAAGTATAACATTGATGGAAACAAAAGTATTTCAACGAATATTAACACTGCCAGGTATCTGCAGTGTTGATACTATTCATGGATAATTGACATGTGTTATCATTTACTTTTGTTTTTCTCCATAAGTGAATTAATATCAACTGACAGAAGTGTAGCATTTCTGCTTAATATACAATATGAATCCATTGTTATTTTCGCTACATTTTTTTTCCTTTTTATCTTATTAGATTTGCGAAATGTAATGAATTATTTATAAATATTTTCATTTATTTAAACGTGTATGTTTTTTTTTCAGCTGAGAATGTCTCAATCAGTAGGACTAGCATATTACATCAGAATGAATATGGAGATTCTTTAAAAGATGCAAATCTTATGGTAATTACTAAACAAAGTATAAATGATGATCATATTCATCATTTACAATTAAATGCGAATCAATCATCAGTTCCTATACATTTTACTATTAAAGATACAATTGAAAACAAAAATAGCAGTGTTTATCTTCTCTCATTACTAGCTTTTGATGAGTCTAATCAATCATCACGGGAAAGCTTACTTTTTCAACAATATTTTCCAGTGAATCACGTTAATTCCACTACATTTATTGTCCATAACACATGTAGGGTAACATTTCGTTATTATTATTTTTCTTTAGTCTTATTTTATTTGACTATCTGTATAGCAAATCTTCTCAAATGTTTGCCTGCAGACTATCCATGTCTAGATACAAGTGAAATGTCTGATAAAACTGTATCTGTATGTTGTAATGATATCAAATGTCAACATTCCGATAAAAATAAACTAAACAAGCCTACTTGTGGTGGTAGAGCTGCAGGTAAGATCTACTATTTGAAATTGTAACCTGTATTTCTTCTTTTTTTATAGTCGTTTTCTATGCGGTTCTTACTTATATTTTACCTGATGCTATAAAAGCAAAACATGGATTACTAAATGCATATGATATAAAAATGTTTGAGACAATCGTAAAATAAATTATAACCTAATGTTTTATATTTTAATTATTCTTCCTATAATAGTGTCAAGCAATATCAGTTCCAGGTACTATTATTACAGTCATCAATGCTACCATTCATTGTGGCTGTCCCAATATATTGTAAGTTTTACAGAGAAAATCTCTGAGACAGTGTTCATCTTATTTATATCACTATTGACACATATGACAATGGATCATGAATAAATTTAAACCAGAATTATAGATGAAAAATATTAATCATATGTAACTTTGTGAAAAGAAAATTGAAAATAAATGACATTCGCTATAAGAACAAATATTTAACTAATTGATTTTATCGATATTTTTTAATTGTCTATTGTAGAGAAAATTCTCAATCGAGTTTTGGTAATAAAGATATTTTGAAGATCTATTTATCAATAACTACTGCAGTATCATGCACTCATTGCCAAAATGAAACTCTGAATTCGATCAATCGCAAACAAATGCCATTTAAAGTTTCTTTACAAGATAATTCTTCTATAATAATTAGGATTAAAACATCTGATATTCAGATTATTCATATTCCAGATCAAAATTTAATTGAAACAGGTAATGTAATAATCATGATGTTAAACATGATAGAGAGAAAAAATAGATTCGAAGAAGACCAGTTCGAATTCTATGTATTCTGAATTTGTGAGAAATTTAAAACTCATACATCAGTTATAAAATTGACAATTATTAGATAAGATCAAAAGCAAATCTAAGAAATTCTATTATTTTTTTTATATTAAATATGTTGTTTCTTCTTAATTTATTCTATTTTTTATCTCAATATATTTATGTGCTTTTAGTAGAGAAGAAACGTACGTACAATGCTAAATTTCATATTCGATGGTTTAACGCATCTCCTGACACATATGAAAGACCTATATTAAGTATTAATAATGAATTTCCAGCACCTACTACTTAGGGCAGTCCACAAGTAGTGGCGGAGGTTCTTTTTTTTCTTATAAATAGCTAAAAAAAATTTCTTTTTTACCAATCGATAGCGCGTCTTTCCCTATATCGTTCTATGTTATTTGATCTATATCCAACTAAGATTATAATAAAAAAGTTTCGACAAAAACTTTTCTTGGTGTAGTCTGGCTGGTAGCAATAGTGGAGAAAACCATCTACATGTGATTTTTTCTCGTTTTTTCTTGTTCTTTCTTTTATCATTGTCTTCTTATCTTTTATAATATCTGACTATCTATACGTAGATATACATTAACGCGTCCGCCGCACTGATTTTGTGTACACGTGCCGTTCATTTGTTTATATTCCAGAAAGTCAGAAAAATAAAAGCAAGTTGTATTCTCCCCCCATTTTCTCTTTCAAATGAGTACAGAAAACTTTCGCTTCTACATTAAAGTACGCACTGCACTTAATATTCAAGCAAGAATTATTCATGACAAATTATACTCTGTTTATGATGATCAAGCTCCTTCTCTCAGAACGGTGGAAAGGTTGTCTCAGCTGTTTCGTGAAGGTCGAGAAGAAATTGAAGATAAAACACGACCTGGTAGACCCATTACTGAAACAACATCTGAAAATATCGAACAAATCCGCCTTCTTATCAATGATGATTCTTATCTCACAATAGAACAGTTAGAAGATCAAACTGATTTAAGCCATGGTACAATTCATCGAATCATCACTGATCATTTGAATCTAAGAAAGATAAACGCACGTTATGTACCCAAAGATCTAACCGATTTTCAACGGACTGAGCGAGTTCGAATATGTAAAGAAAACTTAGCAAAATTTCAGCAGGGTACATGGCGATTATGTGGCATAATAACTGGTGACGAATCGTGGTTTTTCCATAAACAAATCGGTCGAAAGTCATCAAATGCAGCGTGGAGAAACTATAGATCATCAGTATTATATCAACAATTGTTTACGTCCTCTCGTCGATGAACTTAAACGCTAAAGACCTTCATACGAAACACGTGGTATTAAAATTCATCATGATAATGGAAAACCACATATTCATAAAGATGTATCTACTTATCTTCAATCAAAAGGTCTCACAGTGATACCACATCCAGCCAACTCTCTCGACTTATCACCCTGCGATTTTTGGTTGTTTGACTTAGTCAAAGAAAATCTGACCGATTACAGTGGTTCACAATCATTATATGATGCTGTGGTCGATTTCATGTACTCTTTGAACAAAGAAGAATATAAAAAAACGTTCGAAAAATGGATTGAGAGAATGCAGTTGTGCATCGATAACGAAGGTGATTATTTCGAACATTTGATAAAATAAACAATTGATAAACTTATCCTTATATTTTCCTACTCTATCATTGTTACTCCTTGTCCACTACGAAATACACAGATGATCAGTTGCTATAAAAGGTAAGAAGACAATGATAAAAGAAAGAACAAGAAAAAACGAGAAAAAATCACATGTAGATGGTTTTCTCCGCTATTGCTACCAGTCAGACTACACCAAAAACAGTTTTTGTCGAAACTTTTTTTATTATAATCTTAGTTGGAGATAGATCAAATAACATAGAACGATAGAGCGAAAGACGCTCTATCGATTGGTAAAAAAAGAATGTTTTTTAGCTATTTACAAGAAAAAAAAAGAACCTCCGCCACTACTTTTGAACTGTCCTAAGTATTATAGTAGAGAAAGGTAATTTAATTAATATAACAATAATTAATGAATCATCAGAAGAAATTACGATTCATTGGCATAGTTTAATACAACGAAGTACATTACATATGGATGGTGTTTCAGGTATCACTCAATGTGCTATATTACTAAATCAGTCATTTGTATATACGTATTCTACGGGTGATCAATCAGGTACTTATTGGTATCATTCACATTATGCTATTCAATATGGTGATGGTCTTAAAGATGCTTTAATTATAAAAGATCAAAATGATCCATGGAAAATTTTTTATCAAGATGAAGAAGTTCTTCAAATCACTGATTGGTATCATACATCTGCTCATACACTTTTACGATCGTATTTATATCCTGGAACGTTAGATCCAATACCAGATACAGCTCTTATCAATGGTATTGGACAATTTAATTGTACTCTGAATGAAACATGTTCTTATTATCGTGCATCTATTCGAGCAGGTACAACAAAACGATATCGTATTATAAATACATCAGTCTATGCCACAATGACATTAACAATTGATCAACATCAAATAAGATTAATAGAAGCAGATGGAATTTATTTAGATGGAAACAAATATATACGAGCTCTTCGTTTAAGTCCTGGTCAACGATATTCGGTGTTAGTTACTGCAAAAGAAAAATTTTCATCAAGTTATTGGATACGTGCTACCATTCGTCCATTTGTTGATTATAAAACACAATATGATTTATCTATTAAACCAAATATAAGAGCTATTCTACAATATATTAATGAAACTGATCAAAATATTCAAACAACTATTCCATCAATCGATTCATTCAATGATGATACATTTATTATTAATCAATCAGTTAATCATGGAAAAATATTTAGTGATCAATTAGAACTAGTTCCAATGAATGAAACAAAATATCATTTTCCTAGAAATGGAGTTAAAAAAACAATTTTCTTAAATTCTCAATATAAAGGTGAAAAACCAGGTTATTTTTATTTGAATAATGAAACATTTGTTCATCCAACAAATACAAGTTTATTATCATTACTTTTGTTTAATAATTCAAAAGAATTTCATTTACCATCAGCTTTTCAAGTTGAAGCTGATGAAATAATTGATATTGTTATTAATAATATTGATTTTGCTCCTGACCTATTTCATCTTCATGGTTATCATGTATGGATATTAGCGCATGGTAATAGTAATGATGGTTATTTAAATCAGTCGAAATTAAATACTATTGCTTATAATGAAATCAGTCCCATCTATCGAGATACATTTACAGTTAATCCATTTTCTTATTTAGTTTTTCGTTTTAAAACAGATAATCCTGGTTCATGGATGATGCATTGCCATAATGATTGGCATGTACCACTTGGAATGGCTGCTGTTCTGATTGAATGATCTCAAAAAATAAAAGACTATTATTTTAACAATAATTTTTACAAGTTATATTCCATTAAAATGTCAACATCATTCTTAAACTATTTCATTTTTGACTTCAAAATATTTATATCCAAATTTAAAACTATTTCTTTAATATTTCAATAAAGCAAATAAAAACACATCAGTTGCGACTGATGTCTATAACACTCAAAAAAAGTGTGGATGTGATTATAGATGTGAATGGAGTGTGGTTGGAGTATGAGTAATTAATGCTACTATAGATACACTCGCACATCCATATCCCGGCACGTACATCCACACAGACACCCAGCAACCTATACCACCCAAACACACACCCGCACTCACCCTCACACCCATACCCGTTTATTCAAACAATTCTTCAAGTATTTGTTATTTATAAGGTTTACATCAAAGTAAACCTTTGCTAGAAGAAAATATTAATATGTGGATAATATTAAGTGGGTGTGGGTGGGTGTGAGTGTGGTGTGGGTGTGAGTGTGTGTGGGTGTGTGGGTGTGGTTGTGAATGTAAGGGTATGGGTGTGGGGGTGTGGTTGCGAATGTAAGGGTATGGGTGTGGGGGTGTGGGGTGTCGGTGTGGATGTGGGTGTGTGTGGGCAAAGATGTGCGTGGACAGAACACAGATATCCACACCCACACCCACACTCACACACCCACACCCACATCCACACCCATACCCACACCCTCGATGTTTTTACTGAATCAAGACTTAAAGGCTATATGCAACGACAATATAATTCTTCAAAGGTTGGCAGTCAAATAGTTTTATGGCAATTTTTAATCAATTTTTTTCGACTTTATGAAGAATAATATAGAAAATCAATTGAGTATCAGTACTATTATCCGTTTCAAAATATAATGCGTCCCACTGTTTTTTGAATAACTCAAGAACGCAATCAGCTAGAGACCTGCGGTTTTCACCAATCGAAAGAAGAGACGGAGGGGGGGCGTCTTTTTCTCCAATATTGTATAAGACAAAATCATTTTGAAACCAGTCATTTCTGCAAAACATTGCAAAAAATGCATGAAAACGACCCGGCATTCTGAAGAAATTTTCCTTTTGACATGTGATCTAGATAGAGGGGCTGCGGATCTATACTTCAGGATATAATTCGAATGATTATCTTACCGCATCCTAACGTTTAGCAAATAAAACCATCTATTTACTCGCAAGAAAACTATGAATTTCTTTTAATTTTGAAGCAAATTTTTTTACTTTTTGTCAAAATTTCATCTGAATGAGAGACCATTTTTTCGATGTTATGCAGAAATGACTGGTTCCAAAATGATTCCGTCTGATACGATATTGGAGAAAAAGACGGCCCCCCTGTCTCTTCTTTCGATTGGTGAAAACCGCAGGTCTCTAGCTGATTGCGTTCTTGAGTTATTCAAAAAACAGTGGGACGCATTATATTTTGAAACGGACATTAGTTACAGTTTACTGTAGAAAAGCAAAACATTATTTTACTTCTCAACAGTCGCAACAATTTTCACTAGTTATGGACCAATAATTTAATCAGTATGTCTTTGCTGTCAATGTGTAATGATACTTAGATTTGTAAACATAATTCCACTACAAGAAAGTTTTGAAAAATGTTGACAGATTTATGACAGCTATTTGACAGTCAAATATATGATCGGTAGCCATTGTTCTGTTGTGTCGGCCTCGACTGAAAATTGTCCAAATAGATCAATCGTTACTATTGGTATGATTTAATTCCAATTTTAACGTAGTAGTATCTCTATTTTTTAAACTTGTTAAACTTAATTTCACATATTTTGATGAAGGTTAGCGTATTTCTTTTCATTCATGGCGAGAAAGTTAATTTGATTGGTGCATTAAAGTTAATGCGACTCCGAAACTGCATTAAAAATGAATTAAATTTCCGACCAATCATGTTTGTTAATTCCGCATTAAATTATCTAGTGACCTGATGATAAAAAGTAATTGGAAAACAGCCCCCAATGTTGAAATGAAGATTCACTAATGCATTTGCGATGAAACTAATTTTTATAATCTGATATTTTCAGGACATAAAGAGTATTATTGATAATAATTTTTTATCATAAAATTTTATTCTGATCGACTGGAGTGAGAAATTTACAGTAAAAAAATAAGATATTTCATTTAGCGACATCTTTCGTTTATATTTCTTTAATAAAAATTTTCTTCCGCCGTGAATGTACTCTAGCGCTCTCACTTAGGTGAAACTCACTTTTGACGATAATAAAAAACATAAATAAATATGTATCAATATTTGTTACATTTCTGTAAGAGTCTTTTTTGTTGACTAAACGCTAAAACTAGCTGTCGCCTATCGTAGAGCATTTCAATATTGATTTCATGATTCATGCACATGTGTTCATAGACTGTGTACGCGTTTTTAAAAAATACATTGATTACATCGAGTTGATAGAAGGAAAGTATGCTATCATCATACGGTATGCTTTTAGTAATAGTACACAGTTATGAATCATATTTATGTCGCTCTTTTATTCGGAAGACGAATATTATGTGAATCCTTGGACACGTATGCATTACACATTATTAATACCTTGCTCATTATTTTTCATTTACTTTTTATTTACGCAGAATATTTTTTGCGTGTTCGAGAAAAAAATATTTAAATAAATGTTTGACAGATCGAATAAGAAAAATAGTAATATTATTATTTTAGTATTCTATATTGAAGAGTACTTGTTTCAATATGGCTGAAGCAATAACTTCAACTAGTAGTATTCCGTTAGTAATGAAAGCTGCAGAACAAAGTAATTTTGGAGAAATTCGTGAAGTATTAACGCTGCGTGGTGATGTAAAAGTGCCTCGAAAATTATCATCGAAACAAATTCTTGTTCGAGTTTATGCTGCTTCAATTAATCCTGCTGATTGGAAATTATTAAATGGAAATTTGTGGCCTATCACTCGTTTTTCATTTCCACATATACCGGGTACTGATGTTGCTGGTGTTGTTGTCGATATTGGTTCTGCTGTAGAACGTTTTCAAATTGGTGATAAAGTTTATGGCAATGTTGGAATCAATGGTGGTAGTTATGCTGAGTATGTTTGTGGAAATGAATCAATGTTTGCATTAAAACCAAGAAATCTAACGATGGAAGAAGCAGCTGCTGTACCAGTAGCATGTGAAACAAGTTATCAAGCATTATTCAATAAAGTTTCACCTCGTGTGGGAGCTGGAACAAAAATCTTCATATGTGGTGGTAGTTCAGCAACAGGTTTCTTTGCCATTCAATTAGCAAAAGCTGTTGGTGCGCAAGTTGCAACAACATGTTCAGAAAGAAACTTTAATCTTTTAAAAAAACTCGGTTTGATCGTATTCAACTAATCATAAATAATTATTTTCTTTTTACAGGCTATACAATAACAGAAAATAAAGATGAAATGAATAATGATCCACAGAAAATACTTGTTATTGATTATAATGCGAAAGATTTTGGACAAGAACTCAAAGGTAAGTGTCATTAAATTTTAGTCATTCACATGCTACTTCTCGATTTTAAAGGACAAAATTATGATGTTGTTTATGATTGTGTGGGCGGTCAACAACAATGGATATCAGCACGGCAAATATTAAAAATAGGTGGCCAATTTATTACTATTGTTGGTGACGATACAAATCCAGTTCTTTCATTTAAATGGATTGCTACAATTGGTTCAAGTGTAATAAATCGTAAATTTTGGTCAATTTTCAGTTCAGCTCATCATGCTTATATATATCATGGTCTCTATCAAACGCCGGACGATCTTGATGATATACGAACAACTTATATTGAAACAGGCAAAGTCAAACCATTAATTGATACTGTTTATGATTGGCGAAAGGACGGTGTTGAAGCATTATATTTACCTTATGAAAAAACAAGAAGCGGAAAAGCACAAGGAAAACTGATTCTTAAAATAGATGATGAAGAATAAGTTTAGAATTTGGTCTTTTTTTATATTGCATTCCAGATTGTATGGGTTATTTTTTTCGTAATTCAGAAACGCATTTACAATGATGAACAATAGCTATTTCTTTCTATAGACAGAATATTTAACTATAGGCAGTCATTTGTTTGATAAAAAACATATTCTTTTAATATAATATAAACTTATCGAAGAAGAAACTTTTATTTTAATAATCGCATTAGTGATGCTATTATGACTGGCATAATTAATAACAAGTGAGTAAAATGGAATGAGAACTGTCATCTTCAATCAGACAAATTTTGTTAAATTAAAATTGTCTTCGGTACTGTCTATTACAATGGTAGTTAAGTAGTGGCTTCAAAAGCTACAAACAAAGAATAGGGTGTGGTGTGGACGTGGGTGTAGGTGTGGGTGCCGGTGTTCTTTTTGTATGGTACATATGCACATCCACTCTTTGCTACATCTCATGTGGATGATTTGTGTCTGTCCGGTGTGTACATGAGCTTTACTCTCGCCACGGCTGCACCATATGGCTCCTGATCGCGTGCACGCGCATAATAGAAGCCATTCTTTTCATCAATTCAACGTGATTTATTTGAAGGAAAGAAAAGAATTCATCAAAATAAGTTTATTCGATAGAAAATCGTTGAACACGATGATTATACTCATCGACAACATAAAGATTGCCATATCTATCGAAGGACAAACTCATGGAAATTTTGAACTGATTTACTCCTGCTCCTGAGCCATTTCCACCCACAACGACAGTGCCCTGTGTCGCACCTTTAGACCAACGCATCACTCGATTATTCTCCGTGTCTGCAACATAGATAGTACCCAACGTATCAACGAACAGTCCGTAAGGATCCGACAATTGTGTCAGAGCCTTCCCTTGGCCTTGACCCCCAGCGACGACAATTCCTTCTGTTGCATCTTTATTCCATTTCATCACACGATGATTTTCGCTGTCTGACACGTAAACAGCCTGTTGTTGATCGACAAATATGTACTTCGGCCAGTTGAGTTGATTGAGATCAACACCTTGGCCATGGCCACCGGCCACGAGAGTTCCTTTCTTGTCTCCTACTTGATATCGTCTTACTTCATCTTTTTCAGTATCAGAGATGTAGAGATATCTCCGATCATCCATGGCCAATCCCCAACACTTGATGTTGTCGACGAGGATTTCTCCTTGAGTTGTGTCACTACGACGAGACCAACGTACGACTCGTCGATTCTGCCAATCACAAATAATGAAACTATCAGTCTCTTTGTCGATCAACACATCGGTTGGAGAATGCAATTGTTCCAATCGATTTCCTTGACCATGGCCACCAGCTACTACTTGCCCATTCGTTTCACCGATCTTCCATTGGATAATACGATGATTGTTCGTGTCAGCGATGACCATTGTTTGGTCATCATCAATGAAAAGATCGAAAGGCCAGCTGAGTTGATTGGCGGCATCACCTTGTTCATGACCTCCAGCAACAGTTACCCCGTTCTGTACCCATTGGGCATCGACTGGAATATTGGGAATCACTAGAATGAACGAAGAAGAAAAGGAATCGTCATTGTCGAAGAGATCCCCTTTCTTTTGAGTGGGGGTGGGGAGATGATACAAATGAGGCATTCTTCTTCTTCTTCTTCTTCTTCTTCAAAGAGAACTTGGTAAAATTTTCGAGAGTGTTCTTCTCTCATTGACTCTGCACAAGAAAAGATTCTCTAAGTAGATATAAATTTAGAAGCCTTTTACTAGTTTTCTATGAAAAAGAAATTCATAACAATTTGTACAGATATGTCACTTTATGCACTCTCAAGCTAGTTCATTCCTAAGGTTCCAACCCAGACAGAAGCGAAACGCTTAATATACCGTTTAAACGATGATAAACGGCAAAAATGGTGATCATCACCTTTTTCTTTTGTTTTAACGCTTCACTCACGTGCGAAAGCGTTTATCATGGCACATGATCGTTTAAACGTTTTTATAAATCAGTATCTACTATGTGAAGTGTCATGGTAGATATCCAAAATCGTGATCTCCAACGAAGAATGCTGTAAACACAAAGTAGCGTATTGCTTTCTTTTTATAGAATTTCGGTTGTCTTCCTTACTTGTATCTCTTGAATTCGAGCTTTGATGGTTTCAGGACACACACAACTGAAAGAAAATTCAGTGGTCTGGGACTTCAGACTTATTCGAAATAAAATATTTCTCTTTCGTGAAAGAATAAAAGCTACTCATTGATTTGATTAAATATTGGTTAAATAAACAAGAGTCGTTTACTTCATATGAAATTATGAAAAATCATACGTTTAACCGTCACTGAATTTATATTTAGCGCAGTTATAAGTTAGCGTTTATACGATAAAAAGTATTCTTTGTAAACGTTTTGTGATAAACGGTGACATTGGTCAATTCATCACTGTTGTAACTATGTGATGCTAAGCACCGCTTTCACAATAAAACAGCGTTTTTGTAACTGTCTGGGAAGTAGAATCTATGATAATCCGTGTTTTCAGGGATTTGTTTAACTTCTTGCCCAGATCTTTCAAATCCTAAGAAGGCCTCAACAGGAATTTGCAAGGAGAATGTCAAGAATAAGGATTTCGAATTCTTACAAAATCGATGTGCATCGTCAACAGCATGTATCTTTCAGGATGCTTTTCACATGGTTCGACAAAATAGCTGATCAGATGATTTTCTGGATAATAAATGTAAATCTGTTGAAGGGTCTCGCAAACATTTTGCATAGACGTTACAGATGTGACTCTGTTAGGTTTTTGCGAACTTATATCAAGCTGATCAAAAGACGGCTGTAATGCGATGTTAGCAAGATCATAAGAAAGTTTATGGGAAAGCGAAAATTGGTCGAAAATTTTGTTATAAAAGAACAAAAACTTTTTCGTAATCAGAAGCTCTAACTCTTAAGTGTAAAAGCAAAATTTACACTAGTTATATTAATCAAAAAAAGAATACTCATATTCGAGAGATCTAATGAATTAGACAAATAAGTTAGATAAATACAAAAAAGCAATAACAGTTTAGAAACAATGAGTAAGTTCCTCTAATTCCTGTAGTAGGGTTGTCTGCTTCGAGAATGTTCCTACAACCTTATTCTCACCCTCACCCTCAGTCTCACCTTCAAGGCAGACAACGTTACTACAACAATTAAAGCATTTGCTCATAATTACTAAACTGCTGTTGCTTTTTTGTATTTGTCTAACGTATTTGTCTGACTTATTAGATCTCTCGAATATGAGTATTCTTTTTTTGATTAATACAACTAGTGTAAATTTTGCTTTTACACTTAAGAGTTAGAGCTTCTGATTACGAAAAAGCTTTTGTTCTTTTATAACAAAATTTTCGACCAATTTTCTCTTCGATCAATTTTCGTAT